TCTATCTATCTATCTCTCTATCTATCTCTCTATCTATCTCACTCTCTCTCTCTCTCTTTATCTATCTCTCTCTCTCTCTATCTATGCAGCCTCCTAATTGACTTAACATTAAACTAAACTTTAAACTTTTTTATATATATATCTGGTATATCTTTAATAGTCTAAGAGACTAAACGTTTTCTTCAGCTCTGGCCTCTCGTCTCTTTATTCACAACGTTGAAAATAAGTCTAGTTCCGTTTGCCAAGACACGGTGCTGTGACTTGAGGTCATTTGTAGTCGGACCCCCGTGTCCTTCCTCAGAGTAGGAACAGCTGTTGATTCTACCAGGTCTCCTGGAGACATCACGCCACGTGCAAGAGCAGAGGCACCGCAGAACACAGTGTCACATTGTTCGAAGACGAAATTTACGACTGGAGATATCTTTAGCAACAAACGTCTTGGCCGTAAACCTGCTTTTACTTTTGCACCAACGGCCTCTCTAGCACAGCGGTAACATCATAATCTAGGACAAGAAAACATCCCAGGAGTCTGACTTACACCTGGGAGCCAAAATGAAAAATGGCAAAAAGTCTCACCCCCCCCCAAAAACAAACAAACAACAACAACACAACAACAACAAAAGGAAGCAAACGTAGCACAAATGAATGTATAGTGAACAACTGTTGAACCTGAGCGTAGCCGTCTTCCCTTGTAGCGCAATGCACTCGCCAACATTATTACCATGTGAAATTTGAAACATTTCAGGGTTTGTTTTTTTTCTTTTCTTATTCCAGAGTAACATACACCTTAATGTTGGTGTTTTCTGTTGCAGGACGTGAAACCCAGTGATATTGGAAACAAGCGTGGAATGTGGGAAACTAAAAAGACCTCCACACCTCCTAAGGTAACAGACACGAGCCTCCTGCGAGATAGTATTTGATTTATTAGCACTTTGGAAATAAACAACACACCCGATGCCAGAGGTGGGGACCAAGTCATTGCTTTGCAAGTCACAAGCAAGTCTCAAGTCTTTGCACTCAAGTCCGAATCAAGTCTCAAGTCAAAATAGGCAAAGTCCGAGTCGAGTCCAAGTCAAGACTGAAAAGTGTCAAGTCAAGTCCCAAGTCCTGCCGTTTCTGTTTCGAGTCCTTCCACTCGTTGCCACTCGTTTTTTGTTGACCATCTCGTAGTTTTTAAATCCGAACAACACTACCTTTGCTATCATTTTCCCTAACCCGCGCATTGTTCGACAACTCATTCTCATTGGTTGTCCCGCAATTTGATTGGCTCGATATTATCGCGTCCAAACAACGTGGGTCTAATTTGATCGGATGTTCGTCTCAAGTCTTGTCGAGTCAAAGGGCTCGAGTCCAAGTGAAGTCACGAGTCATTGA